CGAATCGTATGTAGTCGCTCTCTTTTTTTCTACAGTTTTCTCTATTGTTACCTGTAAAGTTAGAATTAAATCCCATCTTCCTCCATTTCATCTAAATCCAAATTGGTTTTCCCCAAATTCATTGTTCTGGGTACAATTCTAGTTAAAATTTTTGGACACAGTTCCAAAGACAACAAACGCTTTCTCGGTGAAGTAACAACCTCATTCTTGATTAATTATAGCCTGAAGGAACGATTGTGTGGACATATCCAGTTTTTATGTTTAAGTCCATTAACAATCTCCATTCAACAAAATTAACAGCCCTCTCTATCATGCACCCTTGCAATAAAAACATCACCTTATTTTCTAGTTCTTCTTTTCCTTCTACGTAATAGTTCACGTACGGGGAGACGAAAGGCATCGCCCTCGGCGTCTTCGTCCCGAGCACGGGCACAAGAAAATGAGAACGACAGGGGGAATGATGAATTCTGGACCCCTGGGGTGCCGTTCGTACGCTTTTATACACCGTCTCGACTAACGCGTACAAACTTTTCACGCAAACCTACCCAGACGTTCGAGCAATTTAGCCAGGGCTTAAGAAATATAGTCTCACATATGAGAAAATTCAAAACTGATTCTAGCACTTCAATATAAAGTTATAGACATCATCGAACAATGTCGATTTTATTTATAATCGGTGTTTTGTTTTATATTTTTAGTCAGGGTTTCTTCTTATTGAAAACCCTTGTAAGATACCCTTCGATTTGCTTCTAAAAAGGAAAACAGCTAATGAAGAGCTTCTAAGGTCAATGAAGTGGATTTCTCTAGATGCTATACCGCCAGAACAAGTGACAAGGCTAGTTAGATACGCACAACCACTCCAAGTTTTTCTGAATCCATTTTTGTACTGTCCTAAAACTGGAACATCTCAGATATCTAAGTGTTTACGAGCACTAATCTAACCTAAGCCTTATGCTTGCAATATGGAAGGAATTACAACTGCAAATCGACACTTTTAGATGTGGACTACGATTTGGGTCTTCTTGGATCTCGTTGGTACTCTGTAGGTCTGTAGAACAACTTCGACAGAATAGAGACCAACTCTACACGCTACCCTCAGGCATCGTAGTATGAGTAACTACTACAAACAGCCTAGTGCACGCCATCTGTAGAAATTTGCTACATTTTATGAGATTCACAAAGGTTCAAATACGTCCATAGGAATATCGACTTGTCGAATTGAACCCACGATTCAGAGACCCCCAGTTACCCTGTACAGAACCCTAATTATTAACCTAACCGAAACCAATATTCAATGACTTGTCAAATTGAACCCACGGTGCAGAGACCCCCAGTTACCCTGTACAGAACCTTAATTATTAACCTAACCGAAACCAATATCTAATGACTTGTCGAATTGAACCCACAGTGCAGAGACCCCCAGTTACCCTGTACAGAACCCTAATTATTAATCTAACCGAAATCAATATTTAATAACTTGTAAACTGAACCCACGGTGTAGAGACCTACAGTTACATTGTACAGAACCCTAATCATTAACCTAAGCGAAATCAATATGTAATGTTTGTGTAGTTCCCCTTGGCTTGAATTAATTTACCTCACAATTAAGCAACTGTGAAGGAAAGTGAGACCTAAGGTTTCAAGAATAATCGGGTGGTACCTCAATGCATTCCCTTCAATGTTTCGAACTCAAAATTGTGATTATTTTTGCATTTCTGTATAAGAACAGTCCTCTGCTCTCTACGTAATTAAATGCGAAGGGTTGTAAACATTGATTTCAGTATCTTTCGAAAGGGTGTTTTTTTTTCTAAATTACTCTCTTATCAGAACGTTGCCCGCTACATGAGCCTACCTACCAATCTTTTTGTCATAAATTAGAGTGCAATTAGAAATTCAAATAGTGTCGCATTGATAAAGCTGTGAGTAAGGCCATTATCTGATTGTAATTAAAACATAGAGCACGAAGGGTACGGTAATTGGCTAATTCTGCCGGTTCCATTGTATTACAGAGGGCAACCGCATGGCAAATCACCCCGGCGGCTGTCCCTAAAAAGAGGGTCGTGAATACTGTCGGGGTGCCTTGAGGTCGATTCGTATTTGTAACGATATCTTTTTGAAGGCACGGAAAATAGTTGATCAGGTAATGTAATTGGTAGATGCAACATCAACATCAAGACACAGTTTTAAAACAGCAGTTGTCAATATGTTTTTGAATGTAACTAATACACCTTAGAATATACTATCCGAGATAAAAATGTTCAGTCTCTCAGAATCTCTGAAAGCGAGACTCGAGTCTTTGTCTCTCATCGAGTCTCTCTGGTGTCCCTGAGAGAGACCGTCGAGAGACTGTCAAAAAAACTGTTTAGCGTCTCTGAACGAGAGACTCGAGTCGCTCATATGGAGATCCTCATTTCGTATCCAGTCTCTGAACGAGAGACTCGAATCTCTCAATAAGTGGTATCTCGATAAACGTGATTAAAAGTTAAACATATTTCAGAGATCCCAGTCTTTCTACGAGAGACTCGAGTCTCTCAATATATCAGTTTTATTCATTCAGTCTCTCTGTGAGAAACTCGAATCTCTGAATTAACAATTTTATCGTTCGAGTCTCTCATACAGAGACTGTGAGAGACGCTCCCAGAGACGCTGAAAGACTTTGAGAGATTCTGAAAGACTGGAGAGAGACTGAAAATTTTTGTCTAGGCTATGCATATAAATTCCACTTGTCCTTGGTCCTGATCATTATATGAAATATCAACTGACCTTTTTGATTGTACCCTGCAAGAAGTTCATTGAGTAATAATCAAATCCCTTGCAGGGCTGTAACATACGTACACAAACATATTTGTTCCTTCCATGAAAAACACAAAGAATAGTTGTTCACGTTTAAAATTTGTTTACAGATTTACGATCCGCCATTTTCTCGATAATCAGTTAATTAAAGTAAAAGTTCGTTATGTAGGTACCAATAAGTTTGTTTTGAAAATAAAATGTGCTAATGGAACAATAACGCTTTATGTGTCACAGTAATTGATATTGAATGCCTAATAGATGTGCATCTACGTACTAATCATTTCGATTCGCTTATGTCATTAAGTGCAAAGCAATAAAGAGTATAGCAAAATTTAACTGAAAGTTCATCACGAATAGTCCATAAAGTTATGAAATTGGAACACAAGGCTCACACCAAACGTGGAAACGAAATGAAATTTCAAATCAGGCAACTTCGAATAAAGATGTGAGTGTTAAGACGTAGACGCAGTTCTCTTATTAGCACTAACATTAAACTGAAATTACATATATGGTATTGAGGTAGATGCTAGTGTTTTGCTACTATTAATTCTCTTCATCAGAGTAGACACCTGGGAAATTCTGAAGGAATTCTTCCTACAGCTGATGGGAGACTGCGAAACATTATTCCATTACATCTATTTGTAAATATCGTAAATTCAGAGAAAATGTTTGGGAAGACCCTGTAGAGGTAAACGTTAATTTATTGAGTAACTCGTTGCAGTTCATCAGCATCGGAACGCGTGTTAACAGCATTAACGTTAATAAAGAAATACAACAATTGACAACTTAAGGAAGAACTTGCAAAACAAAACAAATAATCCGTAGAGACACAATTATTTACGCAAACAAAACAACAAGTTGATAAACACACTGATAAGTGCGAAGAAACTAAAATATTGGCACATTCAATTATTCTCATCACACGATTCCTTCTCTCTTAAAACATTTATGAGACTGAACTAGGAGATGCTAGATATGTAGGCGTATATGCACATAAACATTTATTTTTTAAGGATACAAAAAATATCTGTTCACTTGTCCAAAGCAAGACCTCTACCGATAGCATGCTCACCAGGGGTGAAAAAAAACAGTGTCTGGGGCAGCTTTTACTTTTCATGTCTTAATCGCGTAATGCACTAACATTATCATGGAATTAAAGGCGTTTTGAATTATGTGAGATAATACAGGGTGCAACAGAAATATGTGCAGAGCTTTCAGGTGGAGATAGAGCTCTATAAAACATGAAAATTAAGTAAACATTCACCGTTTTCGAAAATAACGCAGTTCAAGGTGCAGGTAAATTTAACTTCGACCCTGGTGCATCAAAGCGACACTGCAACGTAGCATTCAATCATCTGGGAGTTAACAGCATCAATGTTGTATTTCTTTTGTACTTTTCTTGCTTATGGATTGTTTGTTATTTGATTATATTAAGTGTAATTCACGATGGTACCACCCGACTGTAAAAGTCATTTGTCCTTTTAACGTTGTCAATCGCTCATTCTCAACTGTCAGTGTGACACTCACATTTGAGGATCGTGAAAAGAAAATTTTTGGGTGTTACATTTCCACCAGCCACTACTGCTGGTGGGCGGGCAGTCCCTCCGGATTACGCAGGAAGGAAGGACGGGAGGCCCTCTTCAGCCTCCTTTCAGGAATCGTGGGAATGGGTGGGTGGTGGTTCGGGTGAGAAAGAAGACAGAAGAGAATAATAGATTATCTGTACAATATTACTGCCCCAGCATTTGCCTAAGTGATTCAAGGAAACCAGAGAAAAACTTGGACCAAGACAGACGGAATCGAACCGGCGTCCTCCCGAATGCTAACAATGGTCCTGTAAACCTGTAGGCCCATTTAGAAGAAGAAACCCTGGAGTCTATCAGAGACAACTCCTAAACTTAGCACACGAGAAATAGCAAGAAACGTTGGTTTCTATGACAGTGTAGCGAATTTTAAAAGAACAGTAGCTGCACCCTTATCATTTGCAGCGAGCCTTACTTACGTTCCTGCGTGAGAACAAGCGGAGGGATCTTGCTGCACTCTACTGCCTTTTTAACCCAATGACATAAAAGTAATCTCTCAGTAGTTTCAGAAAAGATAAATCATTGAAGAACTTATTAATTAAACCTTGATGATGTTCCTTGGAGATGGTGCAATCCACAATACAAAGACTTAAATTAGAACAACTATTTAATTTTATTACTGCTCTTACATACTACCTACAAATAAGCTTTACACGACAAAATAATTAGAATAAAATTGTAGATTTAGATGAGTTATAATGTTAACAGCAGTACAACATGGAGTTTATGTATCCATAGGTGTATGATTATGGTAGGACTACATTTAACAGAAACAGATTTTACAGAAAAGTTACGTAAACAACACTAAAATATAACATATAAATTAATTATGTTCCTATACTATTAATTTTAACAGATTTATGTAGATAATAGGGAGTAGTTGGCAAAGCTATGTTGTTCATGTACCTATCATATACATTATACATAATAAGGCTATAATAATTTAGCATTTAAGAATACGTGTTGATATGCTAGAGAGCTACCGTAGATTTACGTTTTATTTTGTTGAAATTATACATAAATACCTACCGAACTTTCAGTAAGTAATATGTCTTGAAAGTTGTATAATAAGCAAATTAAGCAACTGTTAGGAAACGCCACCTAGTGGTCGTTGGTTAAAAAAGTAGCGCGAGTGAATCCTTGCCTTCGCTACTGCAAAAAACACAGCAGTGCTGTTTACACAATTTTTAAATATCATTGTTATATTTGCATCTTTGAAATCAACCCCTAAAAATTAAATTTAACCTAATCGAAGTACTTCGTCACTTGCCACTAGATGGCCCCCGTTTTGTGAAGCTCAATATTGTATATATTTGAAGAGAAAGGTTTCATTGTTGTTTTTCTGAAGACAGAGGAGATCTATAAGGCTATTATAAAAATCTTCTATGTGTATCTGTACCATATACCCATTTACAATGTGTCCCTACCTAATTAAATAAAAAAGTGGTCATTTTAAATCTATTTATATTACAATTATCACAATAACTTAAAAACAAGATGCTACATAAGTACATTACAACCCTTAAAATTATTATTATTATATATTTACATCAACAAGAGTCTCTCTACTTATATAGGTACATTTACAAATTAAGTACTTCCTTGACTCGCAAAAATTTACATTTAGTAATTGGTAACAACAAGTAGATAAGTATTAAATTAATGATATTGCACAGTAACACGTTTTAAAACATAAGTAACCGCTACACATTTCTATCTATTTAATTATTTATGATGATTTATGGTAACAAAGCCAAGCGATATGAAATAATTCGTGGGTTTGATTCAAACAGCTAAATTTTGGAGATGCCTGGAGTTACTGGCGCACCGTTTGTTGGTCGTATAAAGGTGGGTTCACATCTAACCACGAACACGTTTGAAACGAGATAAGGCAAGTCGAAATAAATCCTTCTCGAGAACTCTGATTGAAATCGATCGCAGCAACAGACGCAATGCCGACAGGCGGAGCCCAAACATTCGTTTCTTCCAAACTTACCTCGAACGTGTTCGTGCTCAGTGTATATCTACCTTAACGCACATAACACATTCACGTTTCATTCTTCTTCTTCAACGCGAATGCAGAAGAGCGGCCCGCCAATCGAATTTACGTAACACTCCTTACTATTTTTTATTTTTTTTCATTGGTTCGGGGGTTTAACAGGAATTGTAGTTTCTAAGCTAATTGTAATGGACTTTATGTTGATAATTAGTTGCTTAAAAGTTTAATCTGTATAAAAAATAAATAAACGTAATGAAATATTGTAACAAAGAGAAAATTTTCCAATACCGATTAATTTTTTATACAATAGATAATGTGATAATGAAGCTATACGCCATCGATATGTATTCAATGGTTACAATAATTGTACGAAATGCAGGACCTTATACAAATTACAGGACCGAATGTAGATAGGCACCTTATTAGCAAAATCACCTATTTAATTAAGTAGTAAGGTACTTACAAGTATCGACTAATGTAGGTTGTCTTGTCTTTCTTTAATTATATTATATAATCAAGAAAGTTCTATACCTAATAAATATCATTAACCTAGTAATTGCTTTCAGCTGATATGCATCTAATTACACATTTTAGACATGTTTTGTAGAAGCGATTACTAATCCGACATTTCCTTTTAGAATTATATACGTTAGGTTAGGTTTAATTGCCATAAATTTATGGATACATTTAGTACATACGGTATGGGTAGCAAAGGAAAGATCAGATTCCTAATCTCCAATGTTAGCGTTTAAAACAATAGAGCTAATTAAATTGGGCATTTTGTTTAGTAAACCCAAAAACAAAGTAGAATTTTAAGAACTTCTAAAGATCTCCTACGATGAAAAACGCCAATTGTTCTATTCAGGTTTTTGTTACACCTTTCCTTTTAGAAATTTTTAAAATTTTACTTTGCTCAGTTGAATCCATTGGATTTTATTTACTAGTTCTCACTTGTTTTTGTTTGTTTTCCTGTAAATATGCAGTATATTACAAAAATTTCATATTTAACGACTTTGTTGTGAGGATTGACACGTAACAACATCGGGATGGGGTTGTACATTACACTACAAGTTCGAATTATCATACACATCTGAGCAATACTTCTGGCTTTCAGTCGTATTTATAAATACTACCTGGAGAAAATAGACTTTTTTTTGTGAACATCTACTGTACATACTAAATTGACATATTGAGTCGAGATCTATTCCAATAAAATCCAATTAGTTACAAACAACGAAAATAGACGGGGCTGTGATAGGCGGGCTGAACAGTGCTTATAATCTAACACTATCTTACATGCTATCTTAATCTATTTACAAAAATATTCCCATGACATGACACTATAATCTCAGATGTTTTACATTTGACTCCTTCAATAATTTCGATTGAATATTTTCTTCCATCTTATTGTTTGAAAGTGTTATTCCATTGCCGGGATAGATCGCCTTAGTTTGGATTATTATTTTGGATCTAAAACATTATCTAAAGATTGGGAACGTGTTCTTCAAGCCAAAAATCCAAAAGTGTTTTAAGTTGATTCCCAATTTTGGTTACGGAACCTTAGTACATTCTTTCTACTTCAAAAATGGTAACCTTTATCTTTAACGTTATTGGAGAATGAGACAATAAAAAATTCCTGATATAGTAATCTTTGTTTCAAACATTTCGGTTTATTCTACCACTCTCCTGGTAAATATTTCTCAAATTACACTTTCCTATACTGTTTTCTTCCATTTTACAACAATTTAATTATAATGGAAAATTCTGAACAGTGGAATTGCCTTGGATAATCTATATGTTACGAGTGTTTTCGCATTGTGACTTCAACTGTAGAAAATTGTTAACGGACTTTAAAATAAGGCATTATCCAAAATTAGATCACTTTCCTACAGTTTCAAAATGAAAAAATCAATTTCAGAGCGTTTCTTTATCTTTGATTAAGATAAACTTAGAAAGGAAAGCAGATTAAAGAAAATAGTCTTAATAGAACTGAATGAATTTATATAAATGAGTTGCATTCCAAAAGTGGATAAGTGAATGCAGTGAAGCATTTCAGTTCGATCACCACTCAGCGATCAGTTTTCAGCTTCTTGATTCTTTAATGTTTTAAAATAACGGAGTCTACCTGTTTGAGTGTCATTATTTTAGATTAAATACAAATGGCTTTTAATTTTTAATTTGAATGGAATAACATTTTTCACTTACCTACGTTGACAATTACGAGTTTAAAGTGTCACGAGATGAAGTTCCGAACGTTGTGAGATCTCCATATTGACTAAAACTACTTTTAAATACACTTTAGATAAATATGTATACCTAGATATATTTATAATTTATGATGTATAATAATTATATTATATACTGTAAATATTATCACTTAGTTAACAAGTGAATCAATTGATTCTGATATGCATGCGATCTCAGTTGTTTAGATTTTAAAACCTAAATGTTAAAATTTATAAAAACATAATTAATATAAACGTTACTCTATAACTACCTTTATAAATCACATTTTCCTTTTTTAAATGTTAGAATAATAAAATATTACATTAATAACTATGCAGTTAGCTGAGTACAGTGTTATTCAAATTTGGTGGCCTATTAGACGTTTTGGACTATGGATTCACTTCTGTTACGGCATAACACTTTACTATTTTATGTATTATGTTGCTCCTAATTCCATTCCTAGTTCCAATTCAATTTTTCTTAAATTAAATAGCTAATAGCCTCGAATTCAAAAGTTCAAATTTTTCCGAAACGCCTAATAATTCACCAACCTTAAATCGCCCTGTATATAGATAGTATTATATACACCGATAAAACAGGAACACTTGGTGTGATATGTACACGTGTGCGATAAAATTTTAAATAACAGCCTCTGAATTCCTATACTAGACATCTAATTAATTAAATCCTTGTCTGAACGGATTAACACCAGGCTGGGCTTGAGATCTAAATGGATTCGGGTTCTGGGTGGGTTGCTGAGGAAGTACACGACCAGTTCCACTTCTCGATTGGGCTTCCTGTTGATTAAAAGCGTCTTGTTGGTATCCTTGTTGTTGTTGTTGTTGATAATTCTGCTGTTGTTGCCAATCATTTGATTGTTGAACATTGCTGTCCGACTGGTATGAGTATCCATTCATATTAGTACTCAGATTCGTTTCTTGTTGCTGGTACTCGAGATGATTTTTGACATCATTGTCTGCAATTTTCTGGTCCTGCATCGTGTACGTTTGGTATTCCTTCTTGGGTGGATCTGACATAAGGATGTTAGCTTCGTTTTCGAAAGGTTTAAAATCGTATATGTGTTTAAGGTAGATGAGTACTGGTGCGTATAAAAGATTAGAGAAGGCTATGCCGACGTTGAGGGCGGTGAAGCCTATCGCTTCGACTACGCCACCTGCGATTATCGGTCCTACTGCGTAAGCCACTGAATATGATATGTCTGCGATAGCGTACACGCTTCCGTAAATTGAAACGTAGCGTATGTCCACGAGGTAACCGAGAGTCGGTAGAAGAGCCGTGTCTATTAAAGCCATTCCGAAGCATATGCCGCAGATTGGGATCATGAGGACTTCGTAAGTCTTTGAAAACGGAATTAGAAAGCAACATAATCCTTCGAGGGCTAGACCTCCGGCAGCCATTATCCATTGGTATTGTGGATACTGTTTGGCCATCTTTACCGTTAGGATTACTCCGAAAACGTGCGGAAAAAATGAAGGCAACCAGATCATTCCTATCTTCCAGTTGTCGGTGGTGATGTTGTCTTCCATCCATAAGGAGATTGTTGGTTCGAGGAAAGCGAGAGCGACGTTGGCCATCATAAGAGCACCGGCGCAAACGGCTATGTAAGGATCCATAAAGAGTCGCCAGATGGGCACCGATGGGGGTTTGTTGTTTTCTTTGAATGAATCTCTTACCGGTTTCATGACCAACAGGAGCATAAATCCGTCGAGCAGGGATACGAAGGCCAGGATCAGAAAAGGCATCTCTTTCCCTGCGAACTGATATAGGGCTCCTCCGAACGGCGGTGCCACCAATGAACCGAAACTGATGAAGGCCAGCGCGATGCCTAGCGCCTTGGAACGCTCTGACTCTTCGGTGAATCGGTCGGCTATCATTGCTAAACCGGAAGTGTCTGCGAACGCCGATCCCACCCCCTGTAGACTTCGTGCGAAGAAGAGGAGGCCGTAGCTGCGGCCACATGCGAATGTTGCTGTTGAAAGGAACATGATGCATAATCCTATCATCATGGGGATGTCGTAGCCGATGCGGTCGATCAGGCCCCCCGAGAATGGGTTTACCATAAGCTGTACGATTGCCTTGGACGCGAAGAGGATCCCTGTGGCCTGATCTTGCCCATGATGTTGGTGTTTGTAGGGTACTCCCGGGGCGATCGTCGAGTTTCCCGCCATCGGCACAGGCTCATCTGTATATGCCCCGATGTAACGTAAGTAATCGGGTATTATGGGCACTATCACCATGTATAACATNTTTATTATTTATTAAAATAATCGTTGGACAATTCTTAGGTTTCTCGTCTGTCACCAATTGGGATTTACAAAACTGCCTACAAAAGCTCTTGGCTTAAGTGGAAAATAATTATAGTTTAGCGTAGATCAGAACTGACTGAGCACAGAAAATCATTTTGAAGTTATTGAATAGCTATAGGTTTGTATAGGAAGAGGTTAATATTGACTAGTTTACTAGTTGATGAAAACCAATCTACATAGCAATTTTATATTTTGAACCAACAAAATTACGTGATGAAATGGAAGAATTGGGTCATCAAAAGTACCATATAGGTTGAAAACAAATTTTGGATCTTTGACATACTACACCTCGTGTATGGTTCTAAATCAAAACACACAATTTGTTTCAAAAGTTTCATTAGTCTTAGATACTTCTCACTTTTAGGAAGTTCCTACCGAGTTATAGTAGAAAAATATTGTCCAATTTTGTTCTCGTCAAAATATCGATTTGAAGATATCTTTAGTAATAGGGTGGTGTTACATACCTGTATCAGGTAGTGCACTTCCAATACGACTAACGAAGAACCCGCGGATGTTGGTGGCAACTCGCGATTCCCCGAGAAGGCTAAACGTGCCTCCTCCTGGGACGTGGTGTTCGCGGTTATTCTCCACGGTGCCGCTGTCCAGTTGCACTACGATGGTCACTACCGTATACCTCGCTGGTCGGGCTTCAGCGTCCCGGTGACATATTATGACGCACCGCGGTTGAAAGCAGCTACGAGGGGGCGTGAAAGAGTCGGCGTCGAGACGGCGCGATATCCATCAAGACGTCATTGGACGACGCCAAGCGTAGCCACCCCGCGATCTAGAACGCGCCTCCCCTAGTCTATAATTTATGCAACTGTTATTAGCACGACCTGAAAATATATATGTACGCATGTGAAGATATGCCTGAGGGTACTTAGGGAAAGGAATGATGTGTAATAAATCGATATTCAATTGTAGAACGTTTACTGTATTCATAGATTTTTTTGTACAAATCGTTAGCTACAAATGGCTAGAGTATTCAGTTTTTTTGAAAAATGGTATTTTACATACATACCTATTTATGGTTGTAGCGTGACTAGGTTTATAAACATGATCGAGGGATTCGACTTTCTGGAATTAGGTGATTATTAAAACGTCTAACCAAAGAATGTGCCTATTTCTTTTATCCTGGATGTCGTTAAGGAATTCTTAATTATAAATCGCAAATCCTTTGATGTTTTAAGAGTGTCTAAATGTCACTATTCGGCCGTAGGTATGTTCTACCGAGCGGCATGGTTTAGAGATTTAGACCATTGCTTAGCATTCGGGAGGTACGCCGGTTCGATTCCGGGTCCGTCTGCCTTGATCCAAGTTTTTCTGTGATTTCCTTGGATCACTTAGGCAAATGCTGAGACAGTAATATTCCACAGATAATCTTTCATTCACTTGTCCTCATTTCGTCCGTTTTATCTTTCTCACCCGAACTACCACTTACCCATTCTCACGATTCCTGAAAGGAGGCTGAAGAGGGCCTTCCGCACCTACCTTCCGGCATAGTCCGGAGGGACTGCCCGCCCACCAGCATTACTGGCTGGTGGGACTGAAATACACAAAGTTTAGTATAGACAAGATCTGGTAGCAACTGTTGCTAAACTTCCATCGCCGAAATCACCAGAATCAATTAGGTTACAGAATGGAGAAACCTTAATTCACATATGTAAAGTTTTATCCAGCTTTGACTTATGTTAAACTGGGATGAGAGAGGACCCCCTTACTGGCTTATATGAAATGCTGCATATCTCATGTACTTACGTTACTTAGGTTGAAAAAAGGACTCCCTTATTGGATTCTATCAGTGGTTAACTAGTGGAAGAAGCGAAGTCTTCCAAAATCATCCAGCCATCCGTACGACTGGATAGTATCGGATTCCCGAGGAAGGAGTCGTCAGACCTACCGACCAAAACTCTCTACTTCGGACCACTCTAGAACCATGTTAGGTCGTCAGCCAATAGGACAGGTTTCCTTGATTGACTTGTGTGAAGTGCTAAATGTAGAGTGTACACCATAGGTTTAGATCAGGTAGAGAGCGAAGTTCCTGATTGGCACACGGAGGTCTGTGTACCAAAGATTTAGGTTAGGTTATGTTGGGAAAGGTTTCCCTAACTTAGGCTAGGTTATGGTATAGATTAAAAACTAAGTGTAATCCATCATCTACAAAGGCTCGCATCCATCCAAATTTTGACATGTTTAAGTAGTTCATTTGATACTATTTTGAGGTTTACTTTTTTTTTGTATACTAGTGATTGTTGAAGCACTTCATTTTTGAAAGTCTGTACTATGTAATACAATATATAATAAGTTACATACATAGATAATAAATCTTTTAAAAAACCAAAACCTTACTGTTTTTAAATATATTGATCTTCCCTTTTAAATTCCTGCCGACCTTTGCAATAAGAAAAAGTTGAAAATAAATATTTAAGTGTGTAATAGGTTAGTAAGTCCAATAGCTAATTATTATCTATAATTATGGTTACCTGTTATTTTACTTTTCTGGTAGGCATTCTATATCCTAATATACAATATGTTACTTTAGTATTTAGTTTTATGTAAAAGATAATGCGGTGCACCCGGTAATTACCTGCAGATAGCAGACATTTGTTATTTGGTTCCAAGACTCACTCCAACTTTTGTACTATTTTTAATGTTTCTGTGTGAGTGTTAATAAAATACTCTCTTTGTCTATTTAATGACGTAGTTATTATTTTTATGTAATTATTTGAACGTACTTAGGTAGGTATTTTGTTTTCTAAAAAATAGCGTACATAGATTTGTTTCTTTGATGTTTGCTTTGTAGGTGTATAATAGTGTAAAAAAAGTAATGTCGGTTAAAACTTAAATTAAAAAAAAGTGAGATAAAACTAACGAATACAAATATTATGTGATAAAACCTAACAGCAATAAATACTTACAATATACAGATAATATACAGTAAATATAAAAACTTATACAGTTTGTATTTGTTCTAGCCTAACAGCAATAAATACTTAGGCTAGAACAAATACAAACTGTATAAGTTTTTATATTTACTGTATATCTCCTTCTAATAGGTACCTGTTTGTTATAATTTTTCACAAACTTTAATACAGAACAGATACATTAATAAAATAAAAAAGTTCATAATGCAAATACATATGTATAACATAATAATTATGTCTTCTACTAAAAAATTATGTTTATTGTGCAAACAAAGAGATATACCTTAAAAAAATATAATGTTGAAATTTCAAGTGAATTTATATCTATACAAAAAACAAAGTGTTTTATTATCTATAAAGATTAAAATTTAATTCACTTCTATTGCTTATAAAATTGTAAGACATGCAAAATTTGCAATGTATAATAGGTATCAGTATACCTACGTGTTTAAAATTATTTCAGGGAAAATGAGCAGACCTATACCTACTTCCCTATTTGACCTTATCAAGTCCAGACTCAATATGCTTCGACAAAGGGTTAAGATCTATAAGGAATGTTGTAAATCAGTCGATACGGATCAGTTCACAATTTTACTTTTTGTATGCCAAAGGTCGGCGACTAGAAGGTGAAAGGCTATAGTAGAAGGGATAAATATCAAATATTCATGAAAAACGACAGCAGCTGTATCGACCGGCGTTTCTGCACCCTTCACCGTCGCACCCTTGACTTGTACCGTGTACCACACGTGCATTTTCTACCTACCTTAAATAGCCTAAACACCCTTTTACTTTCACTAACCTTGTATAGACTAGGTACTCAAGGTTGAATTAAAAATTACTTTTTGTTTACTCAAAATTATTCGACTACAGATACATTCGAATAAAAATATATGAGACTTTTTATCAGTAATTCTTAAGACTAAAATAAATAAATCCCTAAGTTAAGTTATAGTTATTAGTTATCTTTACTTGTCACCTCAAGTACACAAAACATTAGTGTTGTATAATAATATAAGTAAATCAAATAGGTTCAAATACCTCTCAAAAGTACTTAAAACGTTTTTTAATCCATGGTCCTTCGAGCCGGATATTTTTTGTAGTTACAGCCACTGCAACTACTAAAGCCCACGTGAGAAGATAGTAAACTAAAGCACATTGCTGTCAATAGTTTTGGCATTATCAATTTAATTACCAAATTGTTACCATAGGAACAAATTCTCTATCTATAACGATAGACAGAATGCTCAGTCTCTTGAGTTTCATTATGAATATTTAACGCTATACCTATTTCCTTTTTATTTCGTTCATGAGGCCAGTAACCACTTATCTAAGTAGGTACCAACTGTAGATACACGAAATTCCTGTTTGAAAGTAATCGTAGCATATTTGTTGCGGTTTCGTCACATTAATTCTCGATAACCGTAGTCCTTCATCGATAATAAGATGAGCAAATTGTGTTATTGACTCAATAACGTTGCAAAACACCAATTCTAATTATTCGCATGGCTAGGGGCACGGTATTTTCTTCAAGTTTTATGACACAAGATGATCCTTTTGGTTGTATCTAGACACAGAAATCGGTCATGCTAACTAGGTTGCAAATATAATTTTTTATCGACATGCAGCGTAATGTACAGCCAGTGAATAAATTATGAAAATTGGGTCACCTAGGTCTAAGAAGAGTTTTTCTAATTTCGTTAAATATTCAGGTTTTTATACATATGTATATCTTTTCTTGAAAAATGATTACGTCTCAGTACTGTGCTGAGACGTAATTTATATGTGGGGTTATTACAAAAAAATTATTTATCTTCAACTATCGTATAAGAATGATAAGAACGATGTTAATAATAATTAAAAGAAATTGTATTTCGAACAGTGTATTCTACTACTTACCTACCTACGATAAAAAAGTTAATCTTTTGTTAGTTGGAGGCTTCTAATCAAATTACTAATTTAATTTTTAACGAGATTTTTACCTCTAATTGGCAATTTATACGACGGCTTGGAGCAAATACAGCCTCTTGTGTTTTAATTGATTTAATAAACTACCGACTTACAGTGATTCAAAGAATTAAAATGTAGTTTATAATTTATTCTACCCCTGATAACAAGTATTTTACAAGAGAATAACTTCATATAATTGCTATAATTTATATATAAACTAACTAAATCATACTTTCCTAAGTAAAATGCTACCTATAGGTATCTACAACTCATTTCAAACGGTTAGAGATATGCCTGTTACTTTTACCCAAATGCGCCGTATCAAATTCCAAATTCAATCATATTTTATCTTTTTCAAATCATCATCATAAGGGTGGTTGAACACGCACTTACACTCTAAAGCAACCCATAATCCTCAACTATTTGCTCCAACTATTTCTGTCTTGCTAACGCCTAGTGTGTGCATTCTTTCTATTCGCACAGTATTCTTCAAAGTCACACCTCTAACCGTTTGAAATGAGCTGTACTAGACAATCCTCACTCTGTTTTAAAATTTGGAGTATTTGTAATTTTTTTATTTAGACCTACAGACGCTTTACTTTGAACAATTTCAAAAATTTAAAATAATGATAAGGAATCAGTAGGTAACAGTTTACAACAATCGTTATTAATTCGTTGCTACCAAGAAGATTACACCGTTTAGTCAAGTGTTTGATTTGAAATAACTGATAAAGATGACATGATGATGATTTAACGATTCAAAAATTCAGCTCCAAACAAAATTCCAAAAGTACTTCGCGAGAATTGAAGCGTCCCTTTTATTTAGATAATGACAATTAGGAATAGATAATGCGGTGTTTCCTTCCGGGCTTTTTGACCATGGTCCCTGGCCAAAAAGCTTAGAAGAAAACACCGCATCGATATACGCCGGCCGTGAAAGCCTAAGAACTACAGGAAAAGATATCTATAGTTCCATATATTTTATCACCACACCACTATTATGTTAATCGCACAGATGATTAGTGATGATTAATATAACATACCCAAAACGTGTTTTCAGAACGATTTCTCTAGAAGGTAGGTAAAATCATATAAAAATTGGTGCTTCCAGAACTACTATTATCGTAAATTTCAAGGTAAATTAGATAAAGATGATAGATAAAGTTATCTTTTACCGAAATTAGAATACCGTATTGACTACTGAGTCATTATTTTTGAAAAGACACGTGCAGATTAGTTTAGCAATCTCAATCTTGCAGTTCATTTGTTTTGTGCTATTTTGACAACAAAATAACCATTTCGTCATATCTTACATTTTTCTGGTAACCTGAAGCACGTCCAATTCTCTCTTTCCATTGCATAATTGACCCTTCGTTCGCCTCTACTTTATAGCATACTTGACAATTAATTAAATGATTAAAACCTTAATTGCTTATCGGCCCCTTCAACTGAAGTATACAGTTTATTGATACAGTACACTCCTTTGTTTTTTGAGTATTTTTAAATAAGTTTCGTTTGGATACAGTGAGACTTAAAGGATTGGTTCCTATGCGTATTCTGCGGTATCAGGAGATAAAAATTCAAAGGATTGCTACTTGGTGTTGTAAGGTTTTGATGATCTCAATATAAATAGAAAATTTTCCACAGACACCGCACATGACCTTGGTGATAATTAAAAGACATTATAAAACGATTTCAAATATTAACCAATAGTTTTACGGATGGTAATCCATTGTGACACTTAACAGAAGGGAAATTAACATAAACATGAGCTAAAGTTCTAAATGTATTGCATATTTAGATAAAAATAACACAAAAATTACAATAAGTAATAAATATGGTCCATCTAGTTATCATGATTAATGAGGTTCACTTCACCGTCGCAGATGTCGAATTTGATACTTCTGCGCAGCGTATATACGTCACAGCCGCTTCATGCAGTAGCTGTAGCAATTTCATGCAAATTCAAACACACTGTTTTATGTTTTTATGTTTTGTCATCTTCTCTTCAGTGTTATTTTAATAATTAATGATTGAGAATTGATTTTTGGGTAGATAAAAAGCAGTTGAGGCGCGTGTCCAACCAGTCTTTGAACTGAAGACCTTACAATGATGATGATTTGAAAGTGTTCTTATTGCTTTTGTTAATATTGTTTCCATTTTACTTTACTATTTCGGTCGTTAGTATGAATAGTCAGTTTTGTAACTATTGGTTAGTTTATGCCCGATGAATTATTGGGAAGGAGGCAGCAAGAGTGTGCAAAAGTTTGATTCATAGTAAAATCATTCCAATTTGGTGCATTCTAATTTATCTATTTAGGGAAATTGGTGAAATAATATTGTAAAAAAGGAACATATAACATTTTGAATCTGTCCACAAAGTGTTTTAGGTTTACGAGATGCTTTTACTTCATTATTAACGATTTCAAGTAATTTATCACTCCATTTGTCGTTACAGCTTAAAGATTAATTCAAAATGGGCAATACTTTTGGTGATAATGAATGCAAAATGTTTGGATTTTAAATCATTGACGTTTTCAATAGAATTCGTTTCAAATATACCAAGTATATTTATTATTATACAATACCACTTATTTTTCATATTTGGTAAATCATCGCTTGGAAATAGAAGCGAAATTTAAAAAAAAAATGGCTCGTGTATGAGAGATTGCAGGTTTTTATTATGTTTACTCAATTCGACGAATACTTTAACACATATAATTGAAAAAGGGATTAATAATTAATTTTATATCTGATGTCTACATATGGTCCAAAAAAATTGAAGATAAGAATAAGAGATTCTATATAAGTAGACTTTGCATTAAACCAGGAGCCAATCGAAACAATTGTTCAAAATGATGAAGAACTTGTTGCTCTTAGTTTTGTGCGCTTCAGCATTAACTGCGGTTGTCGAATGTGCTAAAGGTGCGTATTATTTGATTATCAATCTAAAAAATAAATAAATTTTCTTTAAACATTAATGTCTCAAAAAAAAAATAGAATTTCATTTCGAAGCACAGTTGTTGTTTAATTCTTTAAATTTAATCACATTTGCGGCTACATTTTACAGCGACATCTAGTTGAAATAGGTTTAGCTATTCAGCTAACAGACTTCAGCCATTATTGGAGCTTATATTTTCATTTTAGTATTTAAAATTTCCATATAGGCATTGACATATTTGAAAGGAATATTTTTAAATATTGACCTAAACGTTACTTACCAATTTTATTACAACTTCCTATGTGTTTGTATTTGTTTTACTTTCGGATTCTTTCTGAATTTTTTTGATGATTTTGGATTGGTAGTCGATTATCACTAAAAAAAATATCTTTCTGATTAATAAATTTCGACTATGCCTGCCGTAGTGATAAGAACAAACAGTTGTAATAGCTTCGATAAGATATTTGATTTTTTATTTTTCATTAGTTGTTGGTTGCTATTATGGAAGTTGGGCATTGTACAGACAAAGTATTGGGCGCTTCAGTACGGAGAATATAGATCCTTCTCTATGTACCCATGTTTATTACTGTTTTCTTGGATTGAACAGAAATACTCAAGAAATCGAAGTTTTTGATTCAAATGTTGACTTGGATCGAGGTACGTTTACTGATTCAAAACATTTCACATTACATGTTTAGTACCAGAAAAATACAGATGTAGGCAGAAATTTTCTAAAACACTGTGGATAAATAAATATGTATTATTTCAAACAGGCAAATAACTGAAAGATTTAGTATTTTGATTTAATGACATAGAGAAGCATTCCAACTGTTTAAATGTATTAATTTGTTTATTTAGGAGGATATCGCAATTTTACGGGTTTTAAAGCTCGTTATCCAAACGTGAAATTTTCAATTGCTATTGGTGGATGGAACCAAGGTTCTTATGCCTTTTCTGCACTATGTCAGAACGCCACCAAACGAGCACGTTTTATTCAACAGATCATAGAGTTCATAAAAACTTATAAATTCGATGGACTAGAATTGGATTGGGAATATCCAACTCAAAGGGATTCTGCATATGGAGCAGCAGATAAGGTATGAACTCCTTATAACTTTAAGGATTATTGGACTTAAGTTTCTTTCGTCCGTCTCATCTTCTTCACCCCAACCACCACTCACCCATCCCCCCATCATTGAATATCCGAAACATCAATTACAATTTAAAATAAATAAAGCACCATAGCAAATTAATAACAGCCTGATTTTTATTTAGGACAATTTCATGTTACTATTGAAAGAAATAAAGCAGGCTTTCGAACCGTTGGGACTTCTAATTACAGTAGCAGTGGGATCATCACCAAGTTATATCGGTTCCGCTTACGACGTTCCGGCACTTTCAAAGTACGTTGTTCTACACGTCGTAAACTACTGTAATGTGTAATGCATACATAGGTGTATGATATTATTTTATTTGCAGGGTAGTCGATCTAATTAATTTCATGACTTACGACATACACGGATCTTGGGATGGCGTTGCTGGAATAAATGCACCCCTCTACGACCCTGCTGGAAGTACAAGTGTGGTATGTTCAATCTTTCTGTATTATATGCTAATCCAAAACTGTAGTTGGTTAGAGTTGCTTCCTAACGTTGTGTTTTACATCCACACATCGACATCTGAGTTGAAGAAGCTCGCGATTTGTGCTAGCTAGCGAAACATTAGGAAGCATCTCCAACTGACGATGACCATTAGACTGCAATCAGGATAGCATCGTTTCCATTACCAAGTTCTTAAAGCAAAGCTTTCGTCAGAGCTCCATGGTTTGACCTTGGTCGTAATTCTGTCTCCAAATAATACAAAAACAGTAGTCAGCAAAACCCTGGAATATTGCTCATTAAAATTCTGTTGCAGGAGGCTTTTGTGAATAGCTGGCTTGATGCTGGCGTTGATCCTAAAAAGCTAATTGTGGGAATTCCTTTCTATGGAAAGTCGTATACACTGGCTAATGCATCCAATAACGCGATTGGAGCACCCATCACCGGCGGAGGTGAACCTGGCCCATATCTTCTAGATTCAAGCAATTTAGTTTATTACGAGGTTAGCTGTTATTTCACAATTAATACTAGGCCTATTTTAATTAATTTTATCACTAATAGATCTTAGAAAAGCTCCAGCAAGGATGGACTGAAGTATATGATAAAAATTATCAATCCCCTTATGCATATTCAGGAAACCAATGGGTTGGTTACGACAATGTGAGATCTGTTTTAGCTAAGGTAAAAGCAAAAATAGTTTTAACAATCCTTGTACCAAATTTTTAATCACATCTCTTACTGTTTCCCTTATTAGGTAAGATTCGCCTGTTCCAAAGGTCTTGGAGGCGTTATGAATTGGGCAATTGATGAAGACGACTTCGGTGGTTATTTTGGACGAAAGTATCCCCTTCTTAAAGCTATGAATGTGATGAAAAGATGTAGAAAGTAGAAAACTAAAAATTTACTTATAACGCAGATTTATCACGTCCCTGATGAAAACTTTCAACTTTCTGGAGTTGCTGTTCAACATGTATTTTTATCTAATCTGCTAAATAAATAAATCTTAGTTACATAGAGTTTTGCTATTCCCGTTGCTTTCTAGACGTAGAATGTCATTAATTGAAGCTAAAAGGTAATACAGTAGCAGTAGGAAACTTTGGAATGCCGTCGAACTTAGTTCGTAGTAAAAACATTGGTTGACCACACGAACGAAAATTGTAAATTAAACAAATGTTTATACATTTGGAATATAAAGATAGGAAACAAAAAATTAAAAGAAGTGGCTGACTCTAGATCAGGAAGTCAGATAAGTCAGGACGGAAGGAGTAGTAGGGATATAAAGCAGACGATAGCGTAGGGTCGAATCGCTTTCAATAAAAAGTCACTTCAGTGCTGGTTAACGATTAATTTAGAAATTCGAAAAAGATTGTTAAAGGTGTATGTTTGGAGCGCGGCGCTGTAGGGGTGCGAAACATAGACGGTGGGTGCGGCGGAAAATAAAAGGTTAGAAGCGTTCGAAATGTGGTGTTACATGCGAATGATGAGGATACCGTGGATAGAGAAGGTAAAAAATGAAGAGGTATTAGAAAGAATAGGAGAACAGAGGAGTCTATGGAAGTCAATAAAAGATAGGGGAGATAGGTTGGTAGAACACCTTCTCAAACATGTAGGTCCAGTTAGAGACATAGGGGATAGGGTGGCAAGATGGGGTCGGCTGAGGAGGACTCTAGTTGGTCCTAGAACGGCCTGAGGTGGAGGGGTTTTAGTCGGTAGGTCCGAGGACTTCTTCCTTAGGAATCCGACACTACCCAGTCGTACAGACGGCTGGGTGTCTTTTGAAGATTTCACCTCTTCCACGAAAACATAAAAGAAGATAGTACTTAAGCTTTAAAGGTCAATAATATAAAGAATTTCATAATGAAACAATTATANTTCAAATTTGGTGGCCTATTAGACGTTTTGGACTATGGATTCACTTCTGTTACGGCATAACACTTTACTATTTTATGTATTATGTTGCTCCTAATTCCATTCCTAGTTCCAATTCAATTTTTCTTAAATTAAATAGCTAATAGCCTCGAATTCAAAAGTTCAAATTTTTCCGAAACGCCTAATAATTCACCAACCTTAAATCGCCCTGTATATAGATAGTATTATATACACCGATAAAACAGGAACACTTGGTGTGATATGTACACGTGTGCGATAAAATTTTAAATAACAGCCTCTGAATTCCTATACTAGACATCTAATTAATTAAATCCTTGTCTGAACGGATTAACACCAGGCTGGGCTTGAGATCTAAATGGATTCGGGTTCTGGGTGGGTTGCTGAGGAAGTACACGACCAGTTCCACTTCTCGATTGGGCTTCCTGTTGATTAAAAGCGTCTTGTTGGTATCCTTGTTGTTGTTGTTGTTGATAATTCTGCTGTTGTTGCCAATCATTTGATTGTTGAACATTGCTGTCCGACTGGTATGAGTATCCATTCATATTAGTACTCAGATTCGTTTCTTGTTGCTGGTACTCGAGATGATTTTTGACATCATTGTCTGCAATTTTCTGGTCCTGCATCGTGTACGTTTGGTATTCCTTCTTGGGTGGATCTGACATAAGGATGTTAGCTTCGTTTTCGAAAGGTTTAAAATCGTATATGTGTTTAAGGTAGATGAGTACTGGTGCGTATAAAAGATTAGAGAAGGCTATGCCGACGTTGAGGGCGGTGAAGCCTATCGCTTCGACTACGCCACCTGCGATTATCGGTCCTACTGCGTAAGCCACTGAATATGATATGTCTGCGATAGCGTACACGCTTCCGTAAATTGAAACGTAGCGTATGTCCACGAGGTAACCGAGAGTCGGTAGAAGAGCCGTGTCTATTAAAGCCATTCCGAAGCATATGCCGCAGATTGGGATCATGAGGACTTCGTAAGTCTTTGAAAACGGAATTAGAAAGCAACATAATCCTTCGAGGGCTAGACCTCCGGCAGCCATTATCCATTGGTATTGTGGATACTGTTTGGCCATCTTTACCGTTAGGATTACTCCGAAAACGTGCGGAAAAAATGAAGGCAACCAGATCATTCCTATCTTCCAGTTGTCGGTGGTGATGTTGTCTTCCATCCATAAGGAGATTGTTGGTTCGAGGAAAGCGAGAGCGACGTTGGCCATCATAAGAGCACCGGCGCAAACGGCTATGTAAGGATCCATAAAGAGTCGCCAGATGGGCACCGATGGGGGTTTGTTGTTTTCTTTGAATGAATCTCTTACCGGTTTCATGACCAACAGGAGCATAAATCCGTCGAGCAGGGATACGAAGGCCAGGATCAGAAAAGGCATCTCTTTCCCTGCGAACTGATATAGGGCTCCTCCGAACGGCGGTGCCACCAATGAACCGAAACTGATGAAGGCCAGCGCGATGCCTAGCGCCTTGGAACGCTCTGACTCTTCGGTGAATCGGTCGGCTATCATTGCTAAACCGGAAGTGTCTGCGAACGCCGATCCCACCCCCTGTAGACTTCGTGCGAAGAAGAGGAGGCCGTAGCTGCGGCCACATGCGAATGTTGCTGTTGAAAGGAACATGATGCATAATCCTATCATCATGGGGATGTCGTAGCCGATGCGGTCGATCAGGCCCCCCGAGAATGGGTTTACCATAAGCTGTACGATTGCCTTGGACGCGAAGAGGATCCCTGTGGCCTGATCTTGCCCATGATGTTGGTGTTTGTAGGGTACTCCCGGGGCGATCGTCGAGTTTCCCGCCATCGGCACAGGCTCATCTGTATATGCCCCGATGTAACGTAAGTAATCGGGTATTATGGGCACTATCACCATGTATAACATATTGTCAAGCAGCAGCGCGATCGATACAATTACCAAAATAAGTTTTCGTTGTGTTCGAGGCTCCTCCACCTTGGTCTTCAGTAGTTCCTTCACCTCCGACAGTTCCATGTTTATAATGGGAATTGTCCTGGACATCTTGGATGTTCTTTTCTCGTTTTTACCGGATGATTTTTCGATAATAGATCACGAACTAGATCGGAGCGATGGGTGTGGGGTAGCGCAGTGCCATCCCGTTAACCTGCACAGAAAAATCAGTCGTCAATTTCTGTTGTCGTGTGGGGAGGCACTGCGCGGGTCCCCCCCCACACCCGAACACAAAAACTACTCTACAAGTTGCTATTTTCCCCGCACACCCATGATTTTTTCACCTTAAAATAATCGAAACCCAATTTATCAAGTATATTCCACACCAAACTAATTAAAAGCATAATCGAAGTATTAGAAACTTCATCTGCAGATGAATTTTGTGATGCCAAGGTAATATCTATGTAAATTTTTGAAGAGGTGCAAGAAAATATGGATTTAATAATATTCCTTAAGGAATTGTTAAAGAACCATCTGCCCTACATGCGCACTTCCAAACTCCAAACTATTTATACATGGAACTGCCCCTTAATCAATACAAAATGGAATATTTAAAAATGATAACCGACATGTAAGTTTATTATTTATTATTTATTAAAATAATCGTTGGACAATTCTTAGGTTTCTCGTCTGTCACCAATTGGGATTTACAAAACTGCCTACAAAAGCTCTTGGCTTAAGTGGAAAATAATTATAGTTTAGCGTAGATCAGAACTGACTGAGCACAGAAAATCATTTTGAAGTTATTGAATAGCTATAGGTTTGTATAGGAAGAGGTTAATATTGACTAGTTTACTAGTTGATGAAAACCAATCTACATAGCAATTTTATATTTTGAACCAACAAAATTACGTGATGAAATGGAAGAATTGGGTCATCAAAAGTACCATATAGGTTGAAAACAAATTTTGGATCTTTGACATACTACACCTCGTGTATGGTTCTAAATCAAAACACACAATTTGTTTCAAAAGTTTCATTAGTCTTAGATACTTCTCACTTTTAGGAAGTTCCTACCGAGTTATAGTAGAAAAATATTGTCCAATTTTGTTCTCGTCAAAATATCGATTTGAAGATATCTTTAGTAATAGGGTGGTGTTACATACCTGTATCAGGTAGTGCACTTCCAATACGACTAACGAAGAACCCGCGGATGTTGGTGGCAACTCGCGATTCCCCGAGAAGGCTAAACGTGCCTCCTCCTGGGACGTGGTGTTCGCGGTTATTCTCCACGGTGCCGCTGTCCAGTTGCACTACGATGGTCACTACCGTATACCTCGCTGGTCGGGCTTCAGCGTCCCGGTGACATATTATGACGCACCGCGGTTGAAAGCAGCTACGAGGGGGCGTGAAAGAGTCGGCGTCGAGACGGCGCGATATCCATCAAGACGTCATTGGACGACGCCAAGCGTAGCCACCCCGCGATCTAGAACGCGCCTCCCCTAGTCTATAATTTATGCAACTGTTATTAGCACGACCTGAAAATATATATGTACGCATGTGAAGATATGCCTGAGGGTACTTAGGGAAAGGAATGATGTGTAATAAATCGATATTCAATTGTAGAACGTTTACTGTATTCATAGATTTTTTTGTACAAATCGTTAGCTACAAATGGCTAGAGTATTCAGTTTTTTTGAAAAATGGTATTTTACATACATACCTATTTATGGTTGTAGCGTGACTAGGTTTATAAACATGATCGAGGGATTCGACTTTCTGGAATTAGGTGATTATTAAAACGTCTAACCAAAGAATGTGCCTATTTCTTTTATCCTGGATGTCGTTAAGGAATTCTTAATTATAAATCGCAAATCCTTTGATGTTTTAAGAGTGTCTAAATGTCACTATTCGGCCGTAGGTATGTTCTACCGAGCGGCATGGTTTAGAGATTTAGACCATTGCTTAGCATTCGGGAGGTACGCCGGTTCGATTCCGGGTCCGTCTGCCTTGATCCAAGTTTTTCTGTGATTTCCTTGGATCACTTAGGCAAATGCTGAGACAGTAATATTCCACAGATAATCTTTCATTCACTTGTCCTCATTTCGTCCGTTTTATCTTTCTCACCCGAACTACCACTTACCCATTCTCACGATTCCTGAAAGGAGGCTGAAGAGGGCCTTCCGCACCTACCTTCCGGCATAGTCCGGAGGGACTGCCCGCCCACCAGCATTACTGGCTGGTGGGACTGAAATACACAAAGTTTAGTATAGACAAGATCTGGTAGCAACTGTTGCTAAACTTCCATCGCCGAAATCACCAGAATCAATTAGGTTACAGAATGGAGAAACCTTAATTCACATATGTAAAGTTTTATCCAGCTTTGACTTATGTTAAACTGGGATGAGAGAGGACCCCCTTACTGGCTTATATGAAATGCTGCATATCTCATGTACTTACGTTACTTAGGTTGAAAAAAGGACTCCCTTATTGGATTCTATCAGTGGTTAACTAGTGGAAGAAGCGAAGTCTTCCAAAATCATCCAGCCATCCGTACGACTGGATAGTATCGGATTCCCGAGGAAGGAGTCGTCAGACCTACCGACCAAAACTCTCTACTTCGGACCACTCTAGAACCATGTTAGGTCGTCAGCCAATAGGACAGGTTTCCTTGATTGACTTGTGTGAAGTGCTAAATGTAGAGTGTACACCATAGGTTTAGATCAGGTAGAGAGCGAAGTTCCTGATTGGCACACGGAGGTCTGTGTACCAAAGATTTAGGTTAGGTTATGTTGGGAAAGGTTTCCCTAACTTAGGCTAGGTTATGGTATAGATTAAAAACTAAGTGTAATCCATCATCTACAAAGGCTCGCATCCATCCAAATTTTGACATGTTTAAGTAGTTCATTTGATACTATTTTGAGGTTTACTTTTTTTTTGTATACTAGTGATTGTTGAAGCACTTCATTTTTGAAAGTCTGTACTATGTAATACAATATATAATAAGTTACATACATAGATAATAAATCTTTTAAAAAACCAAAACCTTACTGTTTTTAAATATATTGATCTTCCCTTTTAAATTCCTGCCGACCTTTGCAATAAGAAAAAGTTGAAAATAAATATTTAAGTGTGTAATAGGTTAGTAAGTCCAATAGCTAATTATTATCTATAATTATGGTTACCTGTTATTTTACTTTTCTGGTAGGCATTCTATATCCTAATATACAATATGTTACTTTAGTATTTAGTTTTATGTAAAAGATAATGCGGTGCACCCGGTAATTACCTGCAGATAGCAGACATTTGTTATTTGGTTCCAAGACTCACTCCAACTTTTGTACTATTTTTAATGTTTCTGTGTGAGTGTTAATAAAATACTCTCTTTGTCTATTTAATGACGTAGTTATTATTTTTATGTAATTATTTGAACGTACTTAGGTAGGTATTTTGTTTTCTAAAAAATAGCGTACATAGATTTGTTTCTTTGATGTTTGCTTTGTAGGTGTATAATAGTGTAAAAAAAGTAATGTCGGTTAAAACTTAAATTAAAAAAAAGTGAGATAAAACTAACGAATACAAATATTATGTGATAAAACCTAACAGCAATAAATACTTACAATATACAGATAATATACAGTAAATATAAAAACTTATACAGTTTGTATTTGTTCTAGCCTAACAGCAATAAATACTTAGGCTAGAACAAATACAAACTGTATAAGTTTTTATATTTACTGTATATCTCCTTCTAATAGGTACCTGTTTGTTATAATTTTTCACAAACTTTAATACAGAACAGATACATTAATAAAATAAAAAAGTTCATAATGCAAATACATATGTATAACATAATAATTATGTCTTCTACTAAAAAATTATGTTTATTGTGCAAACAAAGAGATATACCTTAAAAAAATATAATGTTGAAATTTCAAGTGAATTTATATCTATACAAAAAACAAAGTGTTTTATTATCTATAAAGATTAAAATTTAATTCACTTCTATTGCTTATAAAATTGTAAGACATGCAAAATTTGCAATGTATAATAGGTATCAGTATACCTACGTGTTTAAAATTATTTCAGGGAAAATGAGCAGACCTATACCTACTTCCCTATTTGACCTTATCAAGTCCAGACTCAATATGCTTCGACAAAGGGTTAAGATCTATAAGGAATGTTGTAAATCAGTCGATACGGATCAGTTCACAATTTTACTTTTTGTATGCCAAAGGTCGGCGACTAGAAGGTGAAAGGCTATAGTAGAAGGGATAAATATCAAATATTCATGAAAAACGACAGCAGCTGTATCGACCGGCGTTTCTGCACCCTTCACCGTCGCACCCTTGACTTGTACCGTGTACCACACGTGCATTTTCTACCTACCTTAAATAGCCTAAACACCCTTTTACTTTCACTAACCTTGTATAGACTAGGTACTCAAGGTTGAATTAAAAATTACTTTTTGTTTACTCAAAATTATTCGACTACAGATACATTCGAATAAAAATATATGAGACTTTTTATCAGTAATTCTTAAGACTAAAATAAATAAATCCCTAAGTTAAGTTATAGTTATTAGTTATCTTTACTTGTCACCTCAAGTACACAAAACATTAGTGTTGTATAATAATATAAGTAAATCAAATAGGTTCAAATACCTCTCAAAAGTACTTAAAACGTTTTTTAATCCATGGTCCTTCGAGCCGGATATTTTTTGTAGTTACAGCCACTGCAACTACTAAAGCCCACGTGAGAAGATAGTAAACTAAAGCACATTGCTGTCAATAGTTTTGGCATTATCAATTTAATTACCAAATTGTTACCATAGGAACAAATTCTCTATCTATAACGATAGACAGAATGCTCAGTCTCTTGAGTTTCATTATGAATATTTAACGCTATACCTATTTCCTTTTTATTTCGTTCATGAGGCCAGTAACCACTTATCTAAGTAGGTACCAACTGTAGATACACGAAATTCCTGTTTGAAAGTAATCGTAGCATATTTGTTGCGGTTTCGTCACATTAATTCTCGATAACCGTAGTCCTTCATCGATAATAAGATGAGCAAATTGTGTTATTGACTCAATAACGTTGCAAAACACCAATTCTAATTATTCGCATGGCTAGGGGCACGGTATTTTCTTCAAGTTTTATGACACAAGATGATCCTTTTGGTTGTATCTAGACACAGAAATCGGTCATGCTAACTAGGTTGCAAATATAATTTTTTATCGACATGCAGCGTAATGTACAGCCAGTGAATAAATTATGAAAATTGGGTCACCTAGGTCTAAGAAGAGTTTTTCTAATTTCGTTAAATATTCAGGTTTTTATACATATGTATATCTTTTCTTGAAAAATGATTACGTCTCAGTACTGTGCTGAGACGTAATTTATATGTGGGGTTATTACAAAAAAATTATTTATCTTCAACTATCGTATAAGAATGATAAGAACGATGTTAATAATAATTAAAAGAAATTGTATTTCGAACAGTGTATTCTACTACTTACCTACCTACGATAAAAAAGTTAATCTTTTGTTAGTTGGAGGCTTCTAATCAAATTACTAATTTAATTTTTAACGAGATTTTTACCTCTAATTGGCAATTTATACGACGGCTTGGAGCAAATACAGCCTCTTGTGTTTTAATTGATTTAATAAACTACCGACTTACAGTGATTCAAAGAATTAAAATGTAGTTTATAATTTATTCTACCCCTGATAACAAGTATTTTACAAGAGAATAACTTCATATAATTGCTATAATTTATATATAAACTAACTAAATCATACTTTCCTAAGTAAAATGCTACCTATAGGTATCTACAACTCATTTCAAACGGTTAGAGATATGCCTGTTACTTTTACCCAAATGCGCCGTATCAAATTCCAAATTCAATCATATTTTATCTTTTTCAAATCATCATCATAAGGGTGGTTGAACACGCACTTACACTCTAAAGCAACCCATAATCCTCAACTATTTGCTCCAACTATTTCTGTCTTGCTAACGCCTAGTGTGTGCATTCTTTCTATTCGCACAGTATTCTTCAAAGTCACACCTCTAACCGTTTGAAATGAGCTGTACTAGACAATCCTCACTCTGTTTTAAAATTTGGAGTATTTGTAATTTTTTTATTTAGACCTACAGACGCTTTACTTTGAACAATTTCAAAAATTTAAAATAATGATAAGGAATCAGTAGGTAACAGTTTACAACAATCGTTATTAATTCGTTGCTACCAAGAAGATTACACCGTTTAGTCAAGTGTTTGATTTGAAATAACTGATAAAGATGACATGATGATGATTTAACGATTCAAAAATTCAGCTCCAAACAAA